GGAACCAACAGGGGGACAAACAAACAAAATATATCAGGCAGCACACCAGGGTGTGCGTGACTGCTAAGTTATCTAGAGTTAGTCTCTCTTGTGGTCCCTCTCTGTCTTCCAAACGACTTTGTTCTCTGTCCCTACTACTCATTGTGCGCATTGCTGGCCTTGGCAAAGTGAGAGGTGGGGGAAAGACATGAATAAGGAAGAGGTAATTAGAAAGCCGGGGAGATGGCCTGATGCAAGTGTGCAGACTGGAGTTCAGAATCCAGGTAAAAGCCAGGCAGCTGTGGAGGCTGCTTATAACCCCGGCACTTCAGCTGCAGAGACCTGCGACCCCCGAGGGCAAGCTAGATATAGACTAACTGGAATTGGCGAGCCTCAGGTTCAGAGAGAGGCCCCGCTTCAATAAATAAAGTGGAGATTGATTGTGGGAAAACATCCAGTGTCAAACTCGCACCTCCACATGGATAGACACACGTGCATACACACGAGCAAACACATACAATAAAATGTACACATACAGAAGTGACACATGAGTTAAGTAACCAGGTTATAGCAGTGACCAGGTTATAGCAGTAACCAGGTTATAGCAGTGACCAGGTTATAGCAGTAACCAGGTTATAGCAGTAACCAGGTTATAGCAGTGACCAGGTTATAGCAGTGACCAGGTTATAGCAGTGACCAGGTTATAGCAGTGACCAGGTTATAGCAGTGACCAGGTTATAGCAGTGACCAGGTTATAGCAGTGACCAGGTTATAGCAGTGACCAGGTTATAGCAGTAGGTATTTCCCCTGGCCACATTCCCTAGCTCCAGTGGCAAGCCTTGGTCTTCCCCATCAGCTCTCCTGGCCTCCGTTCTCCTCAGGCACATTTTACAGGGGCCCAGAGTTAGCTGAGACCTTGGTCTTCATTTCCATATGCAAACTGGAAACAGGGCTTCTGAATCCTCACCCAAAGGAGGGACTTCACAGTAGAATTCTGCTCTACTTGGAGCCTCTGCTACCTTTGCCCCAGTTTTGGGGGCATGAGAGTTCAGATTTCTTAAACCTAGTGAGATTACAGATGGACCCAGATGGACTTTCGCTATTGTGATAAAATACAGGTTGTGTACCACGCCCTCAGCCTATCGACAGCAACATGGTGTCCTGCCATCACCTGTGTCTCCAGAACCAATGATGCTCCAGACTGTAAAGACTGGCTCCTCCCTCCTACCCCACTCTAGATTCTGTCTCTGGGAATCTGATGTCTCCTAGAAGTGGGGTTACTCAGTGTTTGTCTCCTTGGGTCCATCTTATCTAAAGTAGCATACTCTACTCAGGGTTCAGCTCTGACACAGCAACGCTCGGGACCACCCTTTTTTTTAAGGCTATATAATCATTCTCTGTCTGCACAGATGATATTTTCTTTCTTGTGTCTCTTGGGGACACGGGTTATTCCTCCCACCACACAATTCACTCTGATCGTTTATATCTATCCAGATGACAGACTGGAGTCTACGTTCTATGTGAATTTTGAGCGAGGCCACATCCGTGAGGCTGGAGGAGGACACAGACAACACACGGTGGGTGCTGTTCCATACTAGAAAGGCCTTTCAATGTTATGCTGAAGGTAGAAAATTTGGAAAATGTAGAAAAATGTCAAAACATTGTAAATGTCTCTAATCCTGATACCCAGAAGACACCAGGTGGCTCCAGGCCCATGGGAGAAAGACGCTGGCCCAGATCCTTTCCCTGGAGGTGGAGGAGCTGGGGCTGGGGAAACAGGTCCAGCTCTAGGCTGCTGTCACCGCAGAGGTGGCTGAGGATGGTGCCATGTGTGAGGGTGGCTTCCCTGTAGGGGGTGTTGTTCTGAAAGAGTTTTCCAGAGCTGATATCTTTTGGGAATCACTAGCCTTTTCTACCTGCTGCCTGGGGATGTTTGGGGAGGGCTCAGGACAAAGTCAGGCTCCAGAGAGAGAGAGAGAGAGAGAGAGAGAGAGAGAGCGCCTGTGTGTGGTCATGCTGTGTGCAACATACCACTGACATAAAAGTAACCGCTGACCAGGACAGTATTCTCCCATGGGAACAGAGGATAAATGAAAATGTCAATTTTTAAATTTTTTTCAAGATCATAATATAATCACATCATTTCTGCTTTCTCTTCCCTTACTCCAAACTTTCCCAAACACCTCCGCCCCTCATTCTTTTCCAAATTCATGACCTCTTTTAAAAATTGTTGATATATATTATATACATTCCTATATACATTAATACAACCTGCCTAGTCTGTATAGTGCTACATATATGTATGTTTTCAGGGCTAACAATTTGGTATGGGATAACTAACTGGTGTGCTCTTCTCAGGGAGACTATTTCTCCATCTCGGAAGGTTCCTTAGCTGTCTGTAGATCTTTGTGTAGGGAAGAGACTTCACGGCTTTTCCCCATCCATGTTGGCGTGTCTATCGTGGTCATCCTTGTTCAGCTCGTGTTCAGGCAGCCATGCTGGCGAGACTTCCTGAGTGTAGCTTCTGACATTTCTAGGAGACACAGTCTCAAGGCAAAACCCTGTTCCTCTAGCTGTTACAATCTTCCCACCCCATTCCCAATGGTCTGGCGCCTTAGGCCTAGGAGATAGATAGTCACAAATGTATCCGCTGTCTCTGCTGGGACCTGATGGTCTCTACATGTTGCAAAGAGAAATTTCCTTGATGAGGTATGGGCTAGATTGCAGAATCTGACTGCGTAAAGAGGTTGGATGTGGTGTGGGACGGACCTGTGGGTCAGGAGCTGAAAAATCTCCATTTTAATCAGTTTCTGAATTGAAATCTTTTGTGAAAATCAATGCAGGTGGATCTTTCCCCTGAAACACATCCGAAGCTGTCAATTATAATAGCAAATATTTCCCAGAAACCGCATCATGTTGACACTTTCCCTTGCTCACTCTTCCCTTACTTGGCACAGTCGCTTTGTATTGCCACTGGGTCAAGGTGCGTTGACCCTCACAGCAGCAGCCTAGCACCTGGCCCTCCTCTTTAGTGTTTTGGAGTTCACATATGGACACCTATGACCCCAGTGGTCTATGTACCTGTTCTGGGAGGTTCCAGCTATCCTACAGTTAAGCTGATTTGCCCTGGTGCTAGTGACATGGCCAGGAAGCAAAGTCATTTTGCAGACGGGGTAACAAGGGCAATGCAGAGGGATGACAGTATGGAGGAGAGACTGCAGCTTGCTGTACTGCTAGACTCTCTGCTGGTTCTTTGGGATGGGACAAGATAGACCAGAGGACAAGGACCAGAGAACAGTAGCTTCTCAGTTCCCTTGGTAACCGTTCTGATTCCTGCATGGGTGTGGCCCCTTCTGTGTTTCTATGAATAAGCAACCTGTTATTCATGCTTTTTGAAGCCATGGTTAAGTACACACAATAGGAAATTTACTGTTCATGGCATTCTGGGCTTTAAAAATGCTATGCACCTATCACTATTCTAAAACATCCCAGAATTTCCAAGTATATTTTCATTACTGTCAACAGGAAATCCCATGTCTGTGCTAAGAGCCCGAGTGCTGTCTCCAGGTCATATACACACAGTACCCCATGTGAACATTTGCATATATAAACTCTGTGTGTGTGGTGGTGCACATGTGCGTGGGTGCACATGTATGCACACATGTTTAGTGACCCAAGGTTGGCCTCAGATGTTCTTCAGATGTTGTCACCTTTTACTTTATTTTATTTTTGAGATAAGGTCTCTCACTGGGACCGGGGCTTGCTGACTAAGTTTGGCTGGGTGACCAGCAAGTCCCAGAGGTCACCTGTGTCTACCTCTCCTGTGCTGGGATTACAAGTGCATGCCCCGACACCCAGCATTTTAAGATAGGTACTGGGGCTCAAACTCAGGTCCCTGTGCTTGTAAAGCAAGCACTTCACCAACTTAACCATCTCCTCAAGACCTAAATATGTAAACTTTTAAAGGCAATAATACTTAGTGTCATTGTGGTCGTGTGATTGAGCCCTGTGCTATGCAATATAATTTACTAGTTTAGGATTCTGCTTCCCTCCAACTGTCAACTGTGTGAGACATTTTTAGCCATCATGAGGATCTGTCTTCCTCAGACCCAGGATCTTCCTGCATCAGCTCCAGGTTCACCATCCCAGAGCCAATAGAAGATAGCCACATCTTCCTAACCAAGAACATTTTTAAATAACAGTTTTTTGAAATATAATTCATCATGTCAAGCACAAGAGTTGTTCAATTTTATTGTGTTCACAGAATTGTGCAACCATCTCCATTACATCATTCTAGAACCTTCTCATATCCACACCCCACCCCTGAAGACAGCCCGTTGATCATCAAGATTCATTTCAATTCCCTGCTGAACTCACTCCTCCGCATCAAGTTTCCAGATCCACCTGGTCTGGAATACGCCCATCAACAAACTCCCGCAATATCTGGCTGGCTTCTTTCACCTCGCATGTTTTTGAAATCCATCCTGTCAATCACAGATGCCATCTTAGTACTTGATTTCTTCTCATGGCTGCCCTGTATTTCACTGTTTAGATATCCCATCCTTTGCTCAACTGTCCATCGCTCACGAGCACTAGTTCACCTGCATCATTGGGTCCTTGTTCCTAGGGGCCGTAGTCTTCTGCTGACCGCCCTTTCCAGTATGATTATCCCCACTTCGTAGATGAGGAGTTGAGGCCACCATGGAAGGAATGTGGTCCCTTCCTCTGTGAAGGTCAGTCGTGTCTCAGCTTGTCAGCGACTGAGTGACTCTGGAGAAGAGGAGAAAGAAGCTGTTCCTCTATGAGGCAGAGCAGCCAAGAAGCCCCGCACTCCAGCAGGCCTGTTGACAGCCAAGAGCTCAGCTTTCAACCCTTCCTGGAGTATGAAAGACAAAGACACTGCATGCCACATCACATGACCTAAGAGTCCTCCCCTCCCCCTATTCAATTGCAGAGGAGAGGCAGGGGCCTCACTGAAGCCAGCCCTAGTGGTCCAAGGGAGACCAGGACCCTCCGAAGCCATGAGCCCCTCCCATCCTGCTTTCCAGTCCTGGATATATCTTTCTCTCTGGGGTCTCCCTCTGATGCCAGCAGGTGAGTGGGTACCACCACTATCACTAGGACTTCATCTTACCCTTGTGCCCTCACAGACCACATGGTGGACTTTCCTGAAGGGCAAGTCACTTCATCTTCAGGGCTACATGGGACATTCAAGGTCATTTTCTGGGTGGCCAAAGGGCAAAGAAGACAAGGGGGTGTCTCAACTCTATCATGAGCAGCTTTGTCATCTTGAATGCCCCCAAGCCTTTCGATATTCTTGTCTACACAATGCAAATAGCATCATGGAACACTCATGATTACTATGGGGATGAAGGAAGCTTGCACCCAGCACATAGGCTGGGGCAGGTCTGTGGAGACACACATGGTGGCTGTGTGTGTTCATTGCTGTACTTTCTGTCTTAGCGGCTGCTGGCTGTAGGGTCTTTTTTTTTTTTTTTTTTTTTTTTCTGTGTAAGGTCATTCATTGCCTGCTCAGGCAGCAGAGCCCCAGAATGGGGAAGCTATTATGCAAAAACACAGTGGAAAGGGCATGATAAATTCCAGCAGACAGTTTGGCAGAGCTTTGCCCAGTGGATAAGAAATGGTCAGAGCTGGCGATTTAAGAGCTCAGGCTGGTACCCTGCATGGGAGATGTTCTCATGGACATCAGTAGCTTGTTGGAAGAGTGGATGGAAAGGAGAAAAGTCTCACCACCCGCCAGACTCACATCGGTAGCTGAAGCCCCTCTCAGCCACCCCTGAGCCCCCTTGGGGCTCTTTGGTTCTGGCTGAGACTGGTTTCTAGGTCTGAGCTTTCTTACTTGGCTGCGGGAGCCCTCACTCCCTGACTCCTCACTTGAAATCAGGAAGACCCTGCAAGCGCCTGCCTCTTGTATGGTGTCCTTAGGGCTGTATTCACCACTAATACACACTCATCTATGCAATCTCCAATGGTGTTTGAGATGTACTTCCTGTTTGCCTCCCCATACGAGGATATACAATGTTGAGTGTCTCTGCTTTGATGGACAATGGAAAGAAAACCACGGATTCAGCTCCTTGGCCTCATGTAGACTCTTTTTCTCTCCTATTCCTACTCCGCAGTGTTGGCCCAGCGAGGCTCACGCACCCAGGCTGAGGACCGCCTGTTCAAACACCTGTTTGGAGGCTACAATCGCTGGGCGCGGCCAGTATTCAATACCTCCGATGTGGTCATCGTGCGCTTTGGACTTTCCATTGCCCAGCTCATAGATGTGGTGAGTCTGCCCGCTCACTCTGTGTTCCCTTGATTAGCCCCCCAGCCCACTTACTTTTCTCATGGTCCTCCCTGGATTCGGCTCAGTCCTCTCCCAGCAGCCCTCAAAGCCACCCTAGCTACAGCTTGCAGCTACCTAGCCAGGTTAACATGGTGCCTTCCTTCCCAAGCCTTGGAGTCCCTAAGAGAATGGGCTGTCAAAAGAAAGTTTCTAAAACACATGTCCAAAGTCCTCCCTCATGCCCAAGGTGATCCTGAGGAATCTGAGTGCTGGTGACTGAGCCATGGGAGATGTCTGGGCTTGGGTGTCCTGTGAGTGGTCCCCCAAAGTACCTCTTATATATTCTGCTTTCTGGGCTGGCTTGTCAGTCACCCCAACTGCTGTTACTTTCTGTCTCTGCTACCCTAGGATGAGAAGAATCAAATGATGACCACCAATGTCTGGCTAAAGCAGGTAAGCCTTCCCTTGTAGGAGCTGACAGGAGTGTCCCCAGTCCTCAGCCCCTCCTAGGACCCCACTATTGAGGGAGCATGGAGCAGCAAAATGCTGAATTCATGGGTTGTGATCAGTAGTCAAACTTAAGGTTTGAGGTAATGCAGGATGCTCTCCTCGGGGGCTGATTTTGTATGGCCATGCCTTAGTCCACTGTCCTTGCCACCCATAGCACCAAGAAACCCTTTTCTAGAAGCAAGCATTTCATAGTTCTAGGTCCTGCAGCAAAGTTCACAGGACAGCTTACTGAATTATTACCCACTACCTCACAGAGCGAGGGGGTATTCAGATGTGGCCAGCTCCAAGACCCATCTCCTTCTGTGTGTGCTGCCTGACAAATGACCCCAGAGCTCACAGACATAAAGCAATGACCATTTACTTTATCACAATCATTTGTGGCCTGACGCTTAGTCAGCTTTCTTTGCTTTGAATGGTAACCAAAATACCAGTGTCATCTGGGCCAGTTGGGGTTAGTCCATTGCTGTCAAAAATGGCTTCCCTTACATGTCTGTCCCTTACAGAGGTGTTTGGAAGGTTCTGAAAGATTCTGAAAAACTTGGTTAATAGCTCTTCCATGCACACCCTCAGATTCCTTCCCTGGTGTCTCTGGGAGGAGAATTGATGGCTTTTCACTTGGTGGTTCAAGATTCCCATAGTGAAGGTCTTCCCAAGAGACAGAAAGTAGAAGTTGATAGTCATTTATGGCCCTAAAAAAGCCTCAACCTTATGCTATTCTACAGGCCCAGTCAGTAAATGAGCTGGAATCAGGAGGCGATAAAGATACCAGCTCTCCATGGAAGGAGAGCTGAAGAGTCTGTGGAGTTCTGGGAAGGGCCGCTGTTGGGCAGACTCAGGAACTAAGGCCTGATTAGAGCTGGAAGTCTACCTTACCCCTCCTGTCTGCCCAGCTAACCCCAAGGCCTTCAAGTGGAGATAGCAGATGAACATGGGAAAGGGAAGCTAGCCCCTGCCCCCAGCTTCTTACTCTGGCCCCTTGGGTACCTGACTGGTCCTGTCTCAGAGTTTAGCATGCAGAAAACCACAAGGACCAAGATGGTGACATCTCTAAGTCATTCAAATAGATCTCTTGCTCGCTGTGGGTGTCTTGTGCACAACCCCCAACTCACTGGGTCCTGGGTTGTGTCTGGTGTGTGATAGCTACTTCTAAATTAGATGCTTGGGTCAGAAGTTGCTCTGAGCCAATCACTTCTGACACTGTTGACCCTAAGAGTCATTAGAGGTTCTGTGTCTCATCTCTGCAGATGAACCAGTGGGAACCAGGTGAGGAAGAAGATTGGAAAGGCCTATAGTCATGTCATGGAAGGGGGAAGGTCCAGAAACTAGGTCACCACTATTGTCCTGGTCACCTGTATCAGGGCTGGTATAGGAGGAGAGGCGAGTGCACTGTGGTAGAACCAGGCCTTCTGTAGTTGCCTGGGACTAGCCTGAGATGCTAGAAAAGTTACTAATCTTCTGGGAGCCTCAGTTTCCCTATCTGTTATAGACAGAAGTCTCTGTCCTGTCTATTCAGTCCCAAATAAACACATAGAGGCTTATAATAATTATAAACTGTTTGGCCTATTGCTCAGGCTTATTACTAGCTAGCTCTTATGACTTAAATTCACCCATAATTCTGGTCTATGTTTAGCCATATGACTTGGTACCTTTTCTCAGTAAGGCATTCTTATCTTGCTTCCTCTGTGTCTGGCTGGGGACTGACTCTCTTCTGCCTTACCTCTTCCCAGAATTCTCATAGTCTGGTTTCCTCACCTATACTTCCTACCTGGCTACTGGCCAGTCAGCATTTTATTAAACCAATACGAGTGACAAATGTTTACAGTGTACAAGAGCATTATCCCACAGCAAAGTGGGTGACTCATTTACCATATGCCTATGATATTCAGATGTCCCCATTTGATGCCAGTGTCCCCAAAGGTATGAACCTGAAATCCTGAAGGATGGTCTAAACAGAGAATGAGAGCTCTGTTCTGGGAACCAAAGGGTATAACTTTGTTTGTTGCCATGCTTGCCTGCAAAGCCCTGGGCTTAATTCCCCAACAACCATCTAAGTTGGGTGTGGTGGCTCATGCATGCAGTCCTAGTACTTGAGAGGTGGAGGCTGAGGAGTAGAAGTTCAAGGTCATTTTACCATTGTAGCAAGTTGGAGGTGAGCTTGGTTCCTTAAAACACCAATAAACAGAACAAAACAAACAACAACAAACCACAATGAATCTGGCTTTAAAGCCCACTTGGACCCGTTCTGCTGCAAGCATAGTTGGGACCTAGAACATTCTCTTCCTGCTGGGAATCCAGGACTAGGAAGGTCTCTGGAGCATGATTTGAAGGTCCCAGGTAAGCTCCTTGCTTCACTGTCTAGTTCTGGCAGGCCCTGCATTGGAAATGAATGATGTTTAACAGATTTAAGAGGTAGGGAGTGTCAGAACAGGAACCAGAGGCAGGGCTAGAGTGCTAAGTGTGCTGGCTCTGGCATCCTGGGACTTTGGCTACCAAAGTCAGCGCAAAACAGGCTGGTTATCAGAGACGGCTTGCCTGGCTTCCACGTCAGAGTCTTTTTCCTGGCGTCATGGCCTCTTCTAATTCTGTGGGGCTAGGGGAGGGACTTGGCGACCTCTGATCCCACAGCTCGATTTAGATCATCTTGAGGCTCCCCATGCCGCAGTGCCCTGATGCGACCCCCTCCTCTGAGCAGGAGTGGAGTGACTACAAGCTGCGCTGGGACCCAGCTGAGTTTGGCAACGTCACCTCCCTCCGGGTCCCTTCAGAGATGATTTGGATCCCAGACATCGTTCTCTACAACAAGTAAGAAGCCATTTGTTAATTAAAATACATGTTAGGGAGATGGTTCAGTGAGTAAGAGTCTTGGCTGTAAAAGCAAGAAAGATCTGAATTTGAACCCTCAGCAGCCACATAAAAAGCTGGAAATGTGTGTGTGTGTATGTGAGTGATTTCATATATATATATATATATATATATATATATATATATATATATATATAGAGAGAGAGAGAGAGAGAGAGAGAGAGAAAGCCGGGGAGACAAATGGATCCGAGAAGCTCGTGCCCAGTCAGATTAGCCAAAATGGGAAGTCTAAGAATCTTGAGATCCTGTCTTAAGAAATAAAAGCAGGCTGGGCATGCCTTTAATCCCAGCACTCAGGAGGCAGAAGCAGGTAGGTAGACCTCTGAGTTCAAGGCCAGCTTGGTCTACAGAGTGAGTTCCGGGACAGCACTAGGGTCATACAAAGAAACCCTGTCTTGAAACCCCCCCCCCCCCACACACACAGAGGATGGAGCAAGATCAAGGAAAGGCACTTGACATCAGGCCCATATACACTCAATTATGCACCAGCACCCCCAACTTGTGTGCATACTCCACATACATCCACACATGTGCACCAGCACCCCCACATATGTGTATATACACCACACACACTCATACATATGTGCATAAACGTGCACACATATAAACAGTCTCTCTCACACACACATTTCTCATAAAAGAAACTAAAACTTGTTCTTTCCTTTCTGCTTAAGTAGGGTTTTGCTGAGAAGTCCAGACGTTCACACTTAAACAGAGGCAGTTTCTCCTGCTAATTCATGTCTAAAGCAGGTCTCTGGGACACACTGCTATTTTCTTGAAATACAAATGGTCATGGAAGGTTCTCGGTGGGGACAGGGAGAGGTCACATAAGTTTGGATAGCATTGTCAGTCACACCAGCACCCCCCGCTGGCAATCAACCCTCAAGTAGCTGCTGTTTGCTGTTGCTGCAGAGTCATGCCACCCCAGCCCCCACACCCCATCTCTGTGCCCTGAGCTGGACCTAGGATCCTTCCAGTTTCTGCTTCTGAGAGACAGAGATCAGGTGCAAAGTCCGAGCGGCGGGCGCGTCTGGGTTTTGAGATTGCCAAGATGTTGGTCACTGATCCCTGATGGCAACAAGAAGGTCTTCTGCTAGAACAAAGTCTAGTCCAACTGCTGTAGGCATTTTAAGTGTGTGCCCCATAAACACGCCTCCGGGTTAATAGGCAAAAGGTCAATGAAATCACTTGGTCTCCTGCCCCAAATGGGAGTCTGTTGCCATCTAGTGGTAGTTATGTGAAATGACCAAAATCATCACTACAGATTTGGGTTTAATATAGGAATTAGGGATGGAGTTTAAAGACTAGAATACATTCCCACCCAGGGAGACCCAGACTGAAGTCCTGCCTGCCAGTCTCCTCCTGTGAGCCCTTCTGCTTTTATACCCTTGTCTCATCTCCCAGCTAAATCCTACTGCCGTTGACAAGCCAAAGCCTTTTAAATGACTGCTTTTACCGCAACCCTGTTCAGCCCAGACGGAAGTCCTTCCAGGTCTCGGGAGTGTTCCAAATGCCCTTTTGTACAGTGATGCTGTGTGAATTCTTCTCATTTCCAGGTGGTTCCCCAAGGCCAGGGGTCACATTTTACATCCCGCAGGTACAGGTCCTGGTAGATAAAACTGGCCTCAAATACTCCGCAGAATGCACAGGCTGCAAGGAGTTTCCCCACTAGCCAAAACGTTAGGTCTCCTCTGGAAAGGAGCAGAACTTGGTGCCAAAGCCAGGGCCCTCCCCTTCTGGAGTTGACTTCCCATTGGCCAGTGACGGAAAACCCTAAAAGGTCATCCCCCTAGTCAGGTATGGTGGGGCATACCTGTAACCCCAGAATGTAGGCTACTGAGGTCAGAGGATCACAAGTTCAAATCCAGCCAGCAAATTGTGGACCAGCCTGTGCTTCGTAGTGAGACTGTCTCATAAAACAACAACAAAACCCAGAAGAACTTCAACACTCTAAATGGATAAAAATAGGGGTTCAGACTATAAATGTGCCGTGATTCAAAACATGTACAGTGGAAGTACAGTCCTTATGACAGTCAGATATGTAAGTACAATGTCAAAATGGCAATGATGATTCTTGTTTAATTCTTTAAAATTTTTGTTTCTGCAATTAAAAACAATGGTATTTGCAAAGACGACTCATGATACATCTGTCTACAGCAGAGATGCCCACACTCTATGAATAGCCCTACTTAGCCAGTCAATGGCTGACTTTGTTTACCCCGTTACCCTGCTGCCAGTTTCCTGAAGGAGGTAGGTATGCAGGACCCAAGCTTGTCTCCTCTCCTTAGTGCAGATGGGGAGTTTGCGGTGACCCACATGACCAAGGCCCAAATCTTCTTCACGGGCATCGTGCACTGGGTGCCCCCCGCCATCTACAAGAGCTCCTGCAGCATCGACGTGACCTTCTTCCCCTTCGACCAGCAGAACTGCAAGATGAAGTTTGGCTCCTGGACCTATGATAAGGCCAAGATTGATTTGGAGCAGATGGAGCAGACGGTGGACCTGAAGGAATACTGGGAGAGCGGCGAGTGGGCCATTATCAACGCCACGGGAACCTATAACAGCAAGAAGTACGACTGCTGCGCCGAGATCTACCCTGACGTCACCTACTACTTCGTGATCCGCCGGCTGCCCCTGTTTTACACCATCAACCTTATCATCCCGTGCCTGCTCATCTCCTGCCTCACCGTGCTGGTCTTCTACCTGCCCTCTGAGTGCGGGGAGAAAATCACCCTGTGCATCTCGGTGCTGCTCTCGCTCACCGTCTTCCTGCTGCTCATCACGGAGATCATCCCGTCCACCTCGCTGGTCATCCCGCTCATCGGCGAATACCTGCTCTTCACCATGATCTTCGTCACCCTCTCCATTGTCATCACGGTCTTCGTGCTCAATGTACACCACCGTTCCCCCAGCACCCACAACATGCCCCGCTGGGTGAGGGGGGCCCTGCTAGGCCGGGTGCCCCAGTGGCTGATGATGAACCGACCCTTGCCACCTATGGAGTTCCATGACTCTCCCGGTCTGAAGCTCAACCCTGCTTATCACTGGCTAGAGACCAACATGGATGCTGAAGGAAGGGAGGAGACAGAGGAAGAGGAGGAAGATGAAAATATTTGTACATGTGCAGGCTTCCCAGATGCTTCCATGGGTATCCTCTATGGCCATGGCAGCCTGCATCTGAGGGCCCTGGAGCCTGAGTTCAAGGCTCCCTCTCAGGATAGCGAGATCGTGCTGTCCCCTCAGATACAGAAAGCACTAGAAGGTGTACACTACATTGCTGACCATCTGAGGTCTGAGGATGCCGACTCTTCGGTGAGTTGGGTAGAGGGAGGGATTTCCCACCCCCCACCCCCCATGGGCGATTCTGCCAGCTTAGTAGGGAACAGTCCCGTCCCAGGGCATCAGTTTCGATAACCCCTTCCTTCCTGTAAGCACTTGTCTTCCCCAGTCTTTGTCTGAGGAGTCTAGACAATCACGAGAGAGACGCACTCTAGCCCGAGGTTAGCTGGTCACTTCCTGGCAGATGGCAGGATACCACAGGGCACATTGCCCTCTGCCCAACCTAACTGGGAGAGAGTGATTAGAGACTGCTCAGCTCAGCTGCTGGTCCCCCTCTGCTTTGACTTTGCTAATCAGCTTTTCGGGGGGGGGGGTAGGGAACAAGAGACAGAAACCAAGTACAAATGCATCAACTCAGTGCATTGCTGGCCTCCACACTCTCCTGCCATAGAAGGTCTCCTTCATCTGGGCTCTGAGCAGTTTGTGACCTTACCCTATTCACTCATAAGCCCTGCAGATTCTCAGCTGAGCCAGGGGGCTCCCCTCCCCAGTGCTGCCTATAGTACTTAGTGTTCAAAACCTGCTTATGTATGCCCTTGCCAACCAAGCGAGGGGTGAAAGACCTGAACTTACAATGGGGTGACCTTTTGAGTAGGTGAGAACATTAATTGTTCATTTGTAAATGTCTAAGAATTTAGACACTCTGGTTTGGCCTATGAGTGGAGGAGCCCCAGAACCCCAGCTCTTCCATGCTGGCCTGCCCTGGGCCACAAACTGCTTCTTCTGCCCCCTGCAGGTGGGTGGAAAGGTAGCATGGGATTTGGCAGCTACGTAACTACTGTGAGTTACATTTAAATTCTTCTGATTTGGAGGGTCCATGCCCTCTTGGTGGGCCTAGCACCTCCTTGTGTTCCTCGGACTCCTATACCTGGGAGCACATGGACATAGGGAAGGACAGAATGGGATTCCCAGGGATGTGTCAGCCTTGAGCTAAGCCTGTTTCTCCCTCCACCCATCTCTATGCTTGGGATGACCTCAACTGCTCAAGCCTTCAGTAGAGCTGGTGATGGCTGCCTCCATAGGGCTGGACATGGGAGGGACACATCCTCTTCCCAAAGCCTGGCTTTTGTTACTGTAAGCCTGATTCTAATTTCAGGTAAAGGAAGATTGGAAGTACGTGGCCATGGTGATAGACCGGATATTCCTCTGGCTGTTCATTATTGTCTGCTTCCTGGGGACCATCGGGCTCTTCCTCCCTCCATTCTTGGCTGGGATGATTTGATCTCAAGTCCCTTGTGTTGGCTCCAAGATGACTTCTGGCCTTCTCTAACTGAAGCCATCTCTAGAATGTTCTTTTGGGTCAATACCATCTGTCTGCAGTTTCTCCGAGGCCCCCAAACTAGTTTAGACTTTACACCCTCTTTGGAACAGCTCACAGTGATATTGTTGTGCCACGTGCTGAGACCACTCCACATGACACCTGCTTAGGGATGCTGGAGAACCAGAAACAGCGAAGACATTTGCTTTAAAGAAGCTGACAATGTGGTGGTGACATGAGGAAGAATAAGATATTCCTGAAAGAGGAATAGGAGCCATATATGACCAAAGGATCAAACAAAGGGACGGAGGGGTCAGACCAGGGCAAAGGGAATTAGAACACCACCCCAAGGATGGGCACGTGGGGACAAAGGGCCTGGTGCAGGAGAGTTCTGAACAGCACTTTGGATTCAGAGTGTCAGTCCAGACAAGCAGGGTGGGGAGTCTGGGAAGGCAGGGTGGGTATCTTTAATCCAGACCTCGGAAGAAGTTCGGGGTCTTCTCTGAACCTGTCTCCGTGTGCTTTGTGAGGCAAATATCAACAAGACAAGACTATTTCCAGAAGGAGTGAGGCACAGAAGTCCCCAACCTAAGGGTCTTGACCCCTTTTGCATATTAGATATCTTATATAGCAGGTATTTGTATTATGATTCCTACCAGTAGCAAAATTATAGTTATGAAGTAGCAATGAAATGATTTTATGATGGGGGGGTCATCACAACATAAGGAGTTTACTGTATTAAGGGTCACAGTACTAGGAAGGTTGAGAACCACTGGTCTAGAGGTCCTGGTGGAGGCTTGCGGCAGAGGAATGGCATGTGGCTGGGTGGAAGTGGCTGGGCTGTGATTCATCTGAAAGCACCTTTGAACCCCAGGTTGCCCTCAGCATCATGTCTCACGATTCTGTGCCACAAAGAGGATTAGTAATTGCTGCCAGGGATCAGGGCCACCTTCAAATCATCAGTGGACACACCAAGAAGTCAATCTCCACTGGGGGTACCCTCTTGTCACCCAAAGGCCCTGGTCTCCAATTCCCTGCTCTGTCAGCATGCCTTGCCTAGGAACTGAAGGTTTGCTTCAAGCTCTTTAGATTACACACTCCTTTAGGGCAGAACCTCTGCTTCTGTTTTCTCTCCAACCCAGCCCCACGCTGGGTGATGGAACTCAGCACCTGGACCATTCGTTCTGAGTAGTGGAAAGAAACGAGCCTGGCTACTCTGGGCCCCAGAACCACTGGATACCATCCAATGTTCAGGGACGTTTCTTCCCCAAGCAACCGTTCCGCAGTCCCATCAGGTGGCTAGCCGGCTCTGAACTGTTCTGTGCAGTTTACTCTTGCACTTGGAATATTACAAGGCCCTTCACTGCATAGGAGCCCAGGGGATCGGGCCTCTCACAACACTGTCCAGTCCCTGAGGAGTCAGACCTCAGAAGCTTACAGCAATGACATCCCTGATTGCTAATAGATATAGAGACCAAGGCAGGAAGCAGAGTAGGGCAAGCTTCTGGTGTGTCTGTCTCAGGGTATTCTCCTTCTGAACCCCACACACTGTGCTTTGACAGACCCAAGGGAAACCTGCTCACCAAAGGCCTCACTGGAACACTCTGCTATCAGTTCCCATGAGCCCCTAATCAGTCACTAATTCAGTTCTTGGCTCTTCCTTCCTCCAGTGAAGGCAGCCTGTGGCCTCCCGTCTACTTGTTCTAAGCCCTTGGATGTGATTTCCTGATGGGAGATACTTTGTTGCATGCTTGTCCACATCTCCCTCCTCCTTGCACGCGAGTGAAATGCTGAAATAAAGCTGAGATGGTTGCTCTCAAAACTGTCATGCCTTCCTGCCACCTCAGCTGTCACTGGCATCATCTAGTCCCCTCAGAGTCTAGGTGGTTTGGGGACAGTCTCAGGGGAGAAGTGTCCCACAGAGTGAACTACACGGTGTCTTCCTGGAAAGCTTCCTTTGGATGAGGTGCCACGACAGCCTACGTGGAGCAAAGGGCAGGAGGCCACCACCCACTTCTCATGGCCTGTGGTTCCAGGTCAGCTTCCTCCTACAAAGAGCAGATCCATTAAACAACACAGTCAAGCTAACCACAAAGCAAATGGCAATGATTTTAATTCAATCACAGATCAAAAAGAAGGGAGGTAAAGGAATGTTCTCCACAAACGTACGAGGAAGGAAAGGAGCAGGTGTGAAAAGGGACGAGAGAAAAAGAGGAGTAAGAAAAGAGGGGAGAAGAAAAGAGGGAGAAGAGGAAAGCAGGAAGGGCTCAAAGTCCCGTTCTGACCTCCGACTCTCTGCTTCTTCCCTGAGGCGCTGGGTTTGATAAAAACACAGAGCCCTGTGGCCAGAATGGTTTGTTCCTGGACGAAGGCCCATGGCTGTCCGTCCAGGCCAAACTCACATTAAATAAATTCCAATGTACACTGTACAAGAGAGCCAGGCCCAGCCCTCATCTCACCAGCCTCTCTACAATAAAGCCCCTCTTTGTCCCCTCTGCATCAGGGGTCCCCTGAGGGATAAAGAGGAAGAGGAATACTGGCTCTCAAATGTCCATGCAGAAAGCCATCATGGCTGGTAGGGGTACAACTGTGACCCCAATGGTACGCCAGCACCCAGGCTGGGGTAGGAGGGAGTGTCTGGCAGTAGTACCCCTATGAACTATGTCACCCCACCCTGTGTCTGTGCCCAGAGTCTTCTCTGTCCAGGTGCAGCCGGCGTAGCACAGTCTAGGGTGGGTGGGGGAAGGGGGACTCGTGCAAAATGGTGAGGGGAGGACTCTTCTCAGCCTTCCCTAGAGGACCAAAGGCAAGGCAAGGAAGGTACGCCATGACAGGTTGGGACAGAAGGTGCAGGCAGGCGGCCCCTCCCTCGATCACTCCGCGGGTGGATGGGCCAGGTTGGCCAGAACCTTGGCTTGGTCCACAGCATCCAGCAGGTTCTTGGCATCCACAGCCAGGGTGTGGGAAGCTGTGAGCATCTGGCGCTTACAGTCCTCGCTCAGGGATGTCACAGCATTCTGCTGAGCCAACCTCATCTTGTTGATGAGCTCTGCCAGGTCTTTGTTGAGCAGTTTCTGGGTCCCTTCGATCTGGCAGGCAAGCAGACAGGACAGGTTGAATGAGGGATGGGTTGGAAAGGCTAAGGCATCAGAAGCTCCCTGGGAGCCAGTTACTCCCCAACCTGGGCTGAATTCACCTTTCTGCATAGGCTAGAGTTGGTCTAGAAAGATCAATGCAGCAGATGCCCCAGACCCGAGCCAACCATGCGCCAGCCATGCCTGACTGAACAGGGGAGTGCCCTCCATTACAGCGGCAATCCCTGCATGCTGGGCAGAGGTCAAACACATTCACCTACTTTGATGGATAATCTTCGTTATCAAACTTATGGCATTGCCAGGCGGTGGTGGCGCACACCTTTAATCCCAGCACTCGGGAGGCAGAGGCAGGCGGATCTCTGTGAGTTCGAGACCAGCCTGGTCTACAGAGCTAGTTCCAGGACAGGCTCCAAAGCCACAGAGAAACCCTGTCTTATATAAAAAAAAAAAAAAAAAAAAAAAAAAAAAAGCAAACTGATGGCATTTAGAGTGACCATGGAAGCAAACCACAGGGCGCATTGGTGAGGGAGCTTCTAGGTAGAAGTGAGAGCCTCCTCGGATAGGGAAGACCACCCCCCACCCCACCCCCCGCCGCCCAATGTGGTGGCGCCATACCATGGGCTGAGGTCTGGAAATGAACAGACTGGAGAAAGTGAGTTGAGCACCAGAGTTTACCATTCTGCCTTCCCCACTCAGCTGTGATGTGAGCAGCCACCTCACACTGCGCCCACCGTACCTTCTCTACCACGACAAGCCAGATAAACCTTTCCTTTCTCTGGGCATTTTTCTGGAGTATTTGACACACTATGCTTTGACTGTCTGTTGTCAAGGTGAGAGACCAGATCCCATGTTTATTTACTTAACCATCGCATCGCTTGTGCTTAGCATGACGAACACACAGCACTATCGTTGTAAGCTATCTCCCAGCAGATCTGCACTGGGAAATTCACCCAGTGAGCTGTCCAGGTTCTCAGGAGCCATCTCAGTCCTCTGGTAGCACCTGCCCTGCTGGGACTCCTTCAGGTCACTGTTGCCACCCAGAGGATAGCCAGCCCTGCCCTTGTTCTGGTTTGCCTTAAGCAACCACAGGGAGAGGAGATCACACGATAGAATTGGCCACATAGATGACCGCTAGAAGTCAAGGCACCTATGCACTGCATTTGTCTAGACAAGGAACTGATCCGGTTCCCGTGGCTACAGGAAGACAGCTGTGAAAACTTTGCGTGTTCACTCTCCAACAGTCCTGGAGGTCAGAATCCTGACATGGGTCCTGTGGCGGGTCATCAACAGAGCTATGCTCCTGTTAGAGAGTCCAGGAGAGACTTCCTTGCTTTTTGCAGCTCTGAGGTTACCATCCTTAGCCATGGCCTCTTTCCAGCACTGGCATCCCTCTGACTTCAGCTGCTGCCCTCCCATTCCCTCAACTCTGACCCCCTCCCCATGGATACTCCATCATATCCTCTCCTTCTGAGAACCCTTAATTTTACCAGCTCAGTAAAGTTCCTTTTGCCATGTCAGATACTCTGTGTGTGGGTCCCATTTTTGGGACATTACTCTGCCTGCCACAGGTATCCTTCCATCAGAGAACCAGGACTTGCCCTTGACTTTAGCAGTAATGTGCTATCTATAATATATATGCCTTAAGCTAAGTGCAGAGGGTTGCTAGGTAAGGGATGGTGGCAGAGGAGAGAGGAAGGAGTGCTCCTCCATGCATCTACCCACTGAGACTATTTGAGACCTATACAGGGGTTCTCGCTGGGAACCAGAGCAGGTTCAGTTCGCTGGTGCTAACCACTCTGACACTCTGCAGAGGCAACTGTTGGGAGAAACGAGGCTTCCCAGGGGGCCTGCAGTAAGCCTCTGGAGGGAATTACAGCCAGGGACAGGAGGAGGCATAGGAGGCATGGCTGGAAACCAGGACACTCACCTCTGTTCTAGATGATGATGGCAAAGAGGGCAAGAGATCGTCCACACTACCGATGAGTTTCCGCAGGTTCAGTCCCACATTCTAAGAGAGCAAGAGCCGGGCAACTGTTCACTTGCCCTTTGAAAAAGCTTCTCCTCCGCACCCCAGGACTGCACTTGGGCATCTGTCCTCTGAGACTGCCTAGGACTGGATTCCCTAGGGATTCCCTTGTTCCTCTGGGGTCTGTGGGACTGGACAATGGGTGGGGCATAGGAGTTTTCCTTCTAGGGCCAGGGTGGGCAGCCCTACCTCCCTGACCCGCCCCCACCCTGTCAGTCACCTTGACCACCAGCACATAGTCCTCAGGGGGCAGCTGGCTGAGCCTGTTCTTGAGGTCCAGCACGGCCTCCACCAGTGTCATGACATTGTGGTACACGGCGTCATCGGTCCTGTCCAGGTTGGCTGTGGGCTGAATGGACTGAAAGGGAGGGATGGATGGCCAGAGGCCCATGGGGAGCCAGAAGGGTCCCCTATCACTATAATTCATTCCTGGGAATGCACAGATATCAACCCGTGTAAAGACCCCTGCTTTGCAACAAGCACTCTGTCCCAGGGGTAGAGCCCCCCCCCCCTTCTGCCTCTGGGATCATCGTTCTTCAACTGGGGAAGGCAAACAAAATGCTGGTGTGTTAACAAGACACAAAGTCACACCAGCTTGGTTTAAACATCGTCTGGTCTTTGGGTCCACACTGTCTTAACATTTCTCAGACGATTTTTCCAGTGGATAGTAGGATGCTGGAATATGGGGGAGAGCTCAGGAAGAGAAGAGGCCCTGATACTCCTGAGAGCAGACTGGACCAATGAGACCTTTTCCCTGGTCAGGGAAGAAACCAGGAACTAAAAAACTGGTCCCCTTTCCCCATTTTGTCATGAATTAGCTACGAGGCCTTAGGCGAGGTGCATCTGCTCTCTGGGACTTATCTCTGCAACAATGACACTGGACTGGATTATCTCCAAGAGCCTCTGAGCATCTCAGGTCTATGGTTTTGGGCAGTTGTAACCCCAATACGTACCTGTGCACCGAGCCGTGGTGGCTTCTGTGGGGGCCCTGTGAACTCCACTACAATAGGAAGGACAGGGAGTAAGTGAAGGTCTCAGTACCTGGTCTTTCTTTTTTTCTACTTTCTTATAATCAAGCCAACTGCCCTTCTCTACCATCAAGAGATCCCAAGAGTATAAAACCCAAACTCCAGGAAGATGACCAAGGAAACAGCGTCCCAGGCCTTCCTGACTTCCCAGTAGCTGGGGACAAGATCTGTCTATGGCATAGAAAGAAAAAGTCAAGGCAGGGAATAATGAATGCAGTAAGTATGGGAGACTCCAAGGCTTGATGTGCTCCCTCCAAGATGGGCAAGAAGCCCACAGTCTGCAGGCGGCAGCCTGTGCGGTCCACCCTGGTGCAGTGATTTAAGACTGTGTGATGGCGTGTCATACTGTTGACTCTCCTCTGAGGAGGAATGGCACATACAACCTGGGGGAGCTCTTGTGACAGGGAGCCAAGATGCAAGCCAGTAATCTTGCTTCTAACCACCACACAGGGGCTCATTCATCCAAGGCAGCCGCTTACACCCCCCAGTCTTAGTTTTCATCTGGAGAAGGAGCTCGTTGGCTCTGAAAGGACCTTTGAACCCAGAACGGCTGGTCTCAAATCCAAGCTGAGTTAATTAGTAAGTAGTCGGGTGCTATTAAACAGGCGGCTTCATGGTGGCAAGCCTCTGATTCATCTGTGACAGAAAGAGAGACTGCACCGGCCC